CAAAGCAACAACCCCTGATTTTACCCCAGAAGTGAGCAAGGACAGGCTTGGATTTACCTAGCCCAGGAGATGTGGGGGTGCTTCTCATGTGAACGAGGGGGCTTTCCGGGTTTGAGCTGCGCCATGTGGATGCCAGGCCAGCTCCAGTGCTGCAGCTCTGCCCATCTGCTCCTCCTTGCTCAGGGATGAGGAGCAGGAGGCAGCGTGGGCAGCCCCAGGGCCAGCAGGGCGATGGGGCTGGAGCTTCCCCAGGCACCCCGAGCTGCCCCGGGCTGGCTCTTGGGGTGCTCCTTGCACCCTGACACGATGCCTGCTCGTAGGCAAACTGCTCCGTGCCCAAGAGGAGCTGCGGTGGCAGCTGATATCCCGACAAGGAGGTGTCAGGATGAGCCACAAAGGGCTGTCCCCATCACTACGGGGATGGGACCACTGCCCCATGGAGCAGACAATAAATCTTGACAGGCTTTAACCAGAGCAAGGACCTATTTTAACTGCTTTTCACCTAGGATTGCGATTCTTCCTAGGGGGGGATTACATCCAAAGATGAATTCCTTCCTCCTTTGCACCTACGTACCTGTATCTTCTCTACCAAACCTGGTTTATATCTTTTCTCCTATATGAAAAGAGCAGGAGAAGGAGCTTCTTGAACTTGTTTTAGACGATCGCCCCAGCAACAAACCCTCAGCTGCAGGAATTTAGCTCTTCCGCGCCTTGTCCCCAGCCGCCTGCGCCCGTCGGTTCTGAATATTAATTTAAACCTGTTTTTGAAACTCCCTGCAGCCGGGGGTAGCCTGGAGGGCCCCGATGCCAGCGCGGGACGTTGCCTTGTTCGGGAGGAGGAGAGATCCCTCCCGGCAGCGCGAGGCGGCTCTGCCCGGAGCATCTCCCTGCTCCCGCACGGCTCCAGGGATTTCAGTGCAGGTTGGAGCCGTTTTTAAGCTTTCTGGGGGCAGAAATCCCCGGATTTCTAGGCGCAGCCTCCAACGCCCCATTACTGCTCTGCACTGCAGCCTCTGCTGCCATCCCGGCCCCCCTCCTCCCTAGACAACAGCGGAGCCTTCCAGGCTCCCAGGGAGGTCTCGAGGGCTCCGCTCGCCCTGCTGCTGCTTCCGCTGCTTTTGTCAGGGCCTGGGGACGGGACTCGGCGGCGCGATGCAGAGGGGGTATCGGATGGACGTGTTTGTCCCCAAAACAGGCCGTGCCGGAGGGGAGTTATTGCTTCCCGCCTCGTATTGCACTTGTGCTCGGAGGGCAAAGCAAACGGAGCAAAACGGCAGCCGGCCGATCCGGGGCTGGTTCCGCCGGGGATGCTCTGAATGCAGATTATCCTCCCGGGTCGCTGCCGCCTGCAAAGCGACGGCCACGATGGACTAAAACTGCCCCCGATTGCGCTGTTGTGAAGCCGGGGGGTCTCGAGCGCCGTCCCCGCTCCGTGTGCGGAGCCTGGCTCTTCCCTTGGGATGGGGCAGGCCCCGCTCCGTGCCTGGCTGCTCCGGGGAGCCCTTTCCCCCCGGCTCATCCACCCTTCTGGGTGCTGGTCGGTGCCGGGGGCTGGCTGGAGGTTTGCGGGCAGTGTTAAATTATCCAAAATGGGATTTAAAAAAACAAAACAGATCAACTCAGATCACCCGTATTTGAGATGAGAGGAGGAAAAAAAGCGCCCCTTGAACCAGTTGTCAGCGATGCCAAAAATCCCCCTGCCTGTCTCAGTTGGGCTCCTCGCTGCCTCTCTTGGAGGCTGCACCGCAGCCTTAGTCACTGCTTTGCCTGAGATTGAGAGCAGGATGTTTTCTTGGGCACTAGGTAATCCCACAAAATGCCAGGGGGTTGTTTTGACACTGGGAAGGCAAAAGTTGGATGGTTTTGGATAAAGCTTCTGATGGCAGAAACCCCCATGGACCAAATCCTGCTCTTGTTCTTACCCTCCACATCCCAAATAACTTGAGTAAATTGTCCTGGATTTTATATCAGGCAGCTCGGAGTAGAATTTGCTCCCTATCTTCAGTCAAATTAGTGGTCCGCCTTTAATTACCATGTGTCCTGTAAATACTTCTTTGACTGAGCAGGCTGATATTGAAAAAACAAAAGCTGTTTTCTTTTTGATCAGAATTACCCTTCTTATGACAGCTAATAGATGAGTATTGCAGGAGATTAAAACACCAGGGCATGAAAAACCTAAAGCACAAAGGAGGAATTTGCAGAGGAGGGTCATGCAACAGGGCTGGCAGGAGAGCAGAGGAGGACAAAACCGCAGGACTTACATGATCATCTCTTCCACGCAGAACGGGTAGCGGGGCTTTACCTCCAGCTTCCGCACGTTAGAAAATCTGATTTTAGGACCTTTTCTTGAGCATTTGCACTTTACTCCTGCAAGAGAAAGGAGTTTCTCACGCGCTGCAAACCAAGCGCCCTGCTCCCATGGGTGTGTGTGCAGACTTGGTGGGGGCTTGTGAGCCCCGCCAGGAAAAGCTGCTCTTGGGAATGTGCTTGAGCTTAAGGGAATGCTTTTCTCTCTTACACTAGAAAAATATAGGATCTTCCTGAGAAATCTGTGTGAGAGCACCGCGTACGCTCTGCAGATTAGGCAAGCTAATAGCTTTTTAAAGTGCACCTGCCGTGATTAAACATAGCTGTATTTAACAAAAGCAAAATGAGAGTCAGAGCTCAATGAGCAGATGCAATTCTTAGCTACTTTCTCATTTCTTATTTCTCAGCTCGAATTTGCAGGACTTTAAGTCACGCTTTTGATTTTTTCCCCCCCCTCACGGGTGCTCTGATGCTTCCCAGCTGCACAAGAGCATCCCCCTTTTCATGCAGAACAAAATAAACACCGCTTAACCTGCTGAAATCCATGCTAACACATCAATTAAACCCTGCTCTATTTTCCATGAAAAGCACCACCCGTTAAAGGCGAGAGCCGCGTTACGCTCCCGAAGACCCTGCTCTGTGGCACCGTGTGGTCCGGTTACGCGGCCAGCGCTGTCGGTGCCGCTTCCTCACTTGCATTTTACCTTGAAAAGGGAAAAAAAACCCTCGCGGCTCCGCACGCTCGGTGCATCCACGTGCAGAAGGGGCCCGGGTGTTGCTGGTGCCGCGGGGCTCCCGGGCACGGCGAGGGAAGAGGGAGCCAGGACAGGGAGGAGAAGGGGAAGCGGGAGCAGGGGGGATGGAGGGAACGTGCCGCTCACCTTCGGCGCTGGCCAAGCACAGGGCGATG